GACATTTCAATATTATATTGAAAGCTTAGTTTATGCTGGTAATGGTATAAAATTTTGTTGATAGTCGGTCAATATTCCGACATAGTGTTTATAAATTTGCAAGGATTCTATTAGATAACGACAGACATATTTCAAATTTCCCATAAGATATGTTTTATGTTTTACCAATGTTTTATGGTAAAATAACTTAAGGATCTAGATGATTTTTTGATAAAATAAAAATATATATAAACGAAAGGAAACACAATAAAAACTATAATAATCCAAAATATATTATTTTATAACGAGTTCAGTTATTCAATAATATCATAATGTTTGGTAATTATTATTATTATTATTATTATTACAATTACTATAGTTAATATTTATATAATATATATACTGTATATATAATATAATTTAATAATTATTTTTAAAATTTATTAACAGCATTCACTATTATTGCGATGATCATGCTTATTGGCAATGGCATGACAATGCATGTATCATCAGAGATTGATCTACTTCCACCGTGCAAATTTGAAATATTATATACATATGAACATATTATATGCGAGGGCAGTCTTACAGATCACAAATTGTCAGATGTATTTGGCAAACTGAGCAGGGACCGCAAGAATCAAAGCAAACAATTCTTGCGACTCGATTTGGTAAACATCAACAACCTTGAGGAATTGGCTCCGGAAGACCTCGCTGATATATCATTTAGTCAAATCTATTTAACTGATTTACACGGGCTTAAGCGAGTGCACCCTGGTGCATTTGACGGATCAGCCACCACATTAACCACCTTGCGCATGTCAAAAATGTCACAATTAGCTGGGAACGGAACAGAACTATTTCAGGCTATTGGAGCATGCAAGAATTTGATATTTTTGGAAATTACCAAAACTAATTTACAAATTGTACCATATGGATCATTACAATTGGAAAATCTACGCGAATTATCATTGGCCGATAATTGGATTTATGGGATTTCCGGTACATTCCATGATATGCCCTTGCTGAAAACAATTGACCTGAGTAATAACAAGATTACCGCGATTGCCAATGGCGCTTTTGCTACTAACAAATACATGTCGAATATGACCCTGAACATCAATTTGGATCACAACCACCTGTATTATTTTATGTATAAAGATTACGCGGGTGCGTTTGACGGCATTAAACAGCCGGTGAACTTGACAGTTTATGGCAATTACAAAGAGGAAATACCCCGTGAGCGTTACGAGACGTTTATGAAACAGGATTCCCGACACGATTTGTATTCGGACTCCGATTGCTTTAATGTGAAAAACGATTGGCTGAGACTACAGTATGGGAGACAATGGCACGACACGAATTGTCAATAATGACCATGGTTTCACCGGAATATATAACCAATGCTTATTATTATTTAAATTTTTAAAATGTTTTTATTTCATTTGTATTAATTTGTGTAATGCAGAATTTTTATGTTTAAAATAAAGCTAGTTTATTCAGCATTAAAATTTTTAAATATGAATTTTTAAAATACTAGTAACATTATTGTAAAGATTGAACAAGGCGGATAACTGAAGTTAATCGATGCATACGTTTTTCTGTCAATTATATAATAAAAGTTATTCTTATTATTAGTCAATATATTTGGATTAGATTTCTCAATATTAATCTATTTATTTAATAAAGGCTATGTCGGAAAATTGACCTACTATCAACAGAATTTAATACCATTACCAGCATAAACTAAACTTTCAATATAATTATGAAAATGTCCAGAAATTATTTATCATACTTTAGCCACTAATGAGCTAGAGTGATTTTTACTCTCAAAATTCAAAATTAAATTCCAGGCTAATGACAAAATACATTTATATGGTTTCTTCACTAAATTATACCCATATATAAGCTTCATTAATTTTACTATATAAAGTTTTTACAAACTATTAATTTGTTACCGCAAATGCTGTTTAATAAATATAGACATTAATATTGTATTGAAAAGCTTAGTTTATGCTGGTAATGGTATTAAATTCTATTTATAGTCGGTCAATATTGTAGTAAACCGCCGGCACAGGGAGGTTCCGATTGGCCCCAGTATTACACAATTGGTGACAATACTGTTGCCCCGTATTATGAAGTGACAAATTACCCGAAAAACTTTACAAATTTCAATACCGACCTTAAAATTACTGATTGCGAGAACTTATTCAAACCTTACGTCAAAATATGATTTTTAATTTACAATGATATTGCAATTAAAGTTTTTATACCTTGATAAATTTCATTATTACTTAACATTTCAATTTTATATTCATTACAGTATTACTAATATTATTAATTATATTATAATAAAAGTATATTTTAATACAAAATAATACTGACAGTCGTAGTTTGATACAAAATTAATAATTTTTACAATGATACAGTATCAAGCATAAAATAACTAACTGATTAAAAGCACAATTTAATCTAATAACTAAGATTTAATACCATACAAACAAGTTATGCTTCACACTAATATGCAATTTACTAAAGAATACAGATAAGTTATCAATGCATAAATTACACTAAAAATAATATTAGTGCAAAGTTAGTATACAAACTTCAGCAACTTCTGTAGTGTAGAAGCACCCATTGATAACAAATCAATTACCTTTATAATATATTTTCTAAAGTTGCAAAACCACTTATATTATACAAGTGCAAGTGGACTTAGATTTAAGTATTGCAGTGCCCAAAAAGCCTTGAATTTATTGGAATAATTCCTGTTAGGAATTACAGGTATGATAATACAGTATCATAATGCCAACATTGATAGCCTATCAATGATAGGATTACCGGTTTGAAAGGTATATAAAGCAAATACTTTTCAATTTTCTTACTTACAAAATAAAGATCAATGATATATGAAAAATAGACTTTTTTCTAATTTCTAAAATTATAAACTAATTTATTAATTAAAGTTATGATTGATTTGAGAATGTTTGTATTTTCACTGATATTATGGTTGACTTTAAGCCAAAGTAATGCCAAAGAAATCAGTGTTTCGGTGGAGAAGGGAGTGATTGTCGGCAGCACTCGGCCCACAGTTGACGGCAAACAAGTGAACGAATTTCTGGGCATTCCTTACGCCAAACCACCCAAAGGTGACCTCAGGTTCCGGAAACCCGTTCCCACCGACAGTTGGTCTCAACCATTGGTGAGTTGTGATATATCCCGTTCCCTATCGACAAAACGCTTGGTGTCGAGGAATGGCATACCAAATACATGATCCACGTCATTGGTATGACACACCCCCATCCATGGCCCACAAAGTGGATTCCAGTCACTTATTTTGCTATTGAAATAATACTGATAGACATTACTCTTTGGATCCGTTTTGTACAGACTCTTCGCAAACGAAATGGTCGGACATGTGATGACATAATCGCCGAAAGCGTAACCAATGCTACGCCTCAGTATATCCTGCGATGTCTTATCGGACAGACCCGTGAAGTATAGTTTGGCCACATCTTCGCCATTAATCCTCGGCTTCAAAGCCAACGACGAGAACAGGTTTTTGGTGGTATTGTAGGCCTCTGTGTATGTAATGGGCGTCGGGTTGTGGGAGTCATACTTCTTGGGGTCTTCCCCCAAGTTTGTGGCGAATAACATCAACACATTACTGCCCTCGTCCTCACAGTTACCTATCATTAGATTCATGTCTTTGCGAAAATCCCCGGATATTAGCATTTCATGTGGTTTTTTAGGTAGAAATGTACCGTCAGCTACCAGAAAAGATACTAGGTTTAAGGCACCTCCAGCCTCATATGCAATTGCCGATGAATAGGTAGCCAATGTTTCCTGGTCTACAGCTTTCAAACAGTTTATGACTTTAGGCGTGAATGTGCCAGGTGTTTCATCGTCTACACAGTTCACGTATTTTGCCACTTGAAGCCAATACTGTTTCATTTCATCCGGATTACCCGTCACCTCACCCAACGCCGACCCCGACATTAATATAGCGTTTTTGAATAGATTGCGTGTTATGGGCGACAGTACTAAAGCACTGGACGTCATACTACCGGCGCTGGTACCGAAAATAGTGATCTTCTCAGGGTCGCCGCCAAAACTTTTGATATTTTTGTGCACCCACTCCAGTGCCAGCGCGTGGTCCCAGAGACCCACATTTCCGGGCCCGTCATCCGTTCCCGTATATAGGAATCCAAATGCATTTAATCTATTAATATGAGACATATTTGTATTAAGACTTAAAACTAATTTTAATAATTATTAATTACCGGTAATTAATAGTGACAACAATCACGTCCCCCTTTGTTGCCAACACTTCGCCCCTGTAGTTGAATTGATTGGATGAGCCCACAGAAAACCCTCCTCCATGTGCGTAAAACATAACCGGCTTAAGTCCCGCTGACTGACGTTTACTGACACGACTAGTCTTACGTCCACTTGTTGTTGACCTCTGTTTGCTAGCTTTACGTCCGGAGACCCCTGACCTCATAGTAGTGGCAGTCGGCGCCCATATGTTTAAGTAAAGACAATCTTCGCTAATATTTTTGTTTTGATAGTATTGAGCGTATATATGAAGTTGAGAGCAAGCGTTGGGCCACTTGTCGGCCACCAATGGTTGAGACCAACTGTCGGTGGGAACGGGTTTCCGGAACCTGAGGTCACCTTTGGGTGGTTTGGCGTAAGGAATGCCCAGAAATTCGTTCACTTGTTTGCCGTCAACTGTGGGCCGAGTGTTGCCGACAATCACTCCCTTCTCCACCGAAACACTCATCTCTTNGTTTGGCGTAAGGAATGCCCAGAAATTCGTTCACTTGTTTGCCGTCAACTGTGGGCCGAGTGTTGCCGACAATCACTCCCTTCTCCACCGAAACACTCATCTCTTTAGCATTACTTTGGCTTAAAGTTAACCATAATATCAGTGAAGTTATATAAATCATTGAATTATACATAATTATTAATATACTACAGTATTATTTGGTATCAGATATGGCAAAATATAAACTTGTAAGTAATCTTAGCTGTAAGAAATTAGAAATAAGAAAATTGTTTCCTTTATATAGTGCAGATCAAGAGTACTTTATTTACCGGTTAATGATAATCATTTAACTTGTTATACAACTTTAATAATATGATTTTCTTCAAGATATTTGTTATCATCACTTACACTAACATTGCACTAAATCAGGTGCTTACACTAATACTGCACTAACAAATCAATTATGATGTAATATAGACCTTGATGTGTTTACCAAGTGTCATTTTACTAAAATTAGTTAGTTTTAAAGTATAGTATAATATTAATATATCTATATTATAATAAATTCAGCATATTTCGGACCCATTTTTTATTTATTATTAAACTATTAGTGCAAATTGTATTACAATATAAATGTTTAATTTTTTAAATCGTTTGATAACTCACTCTAACTTTTTAATAGTAAAAATGTTACTAACTAGAAATCAATAAACTACTACATAATCTTACAAACATTTTATTAATTATTATTATTCATTACTGTAACCTTGATAACAAGTCGCTTTATTTTTAATAAAATCAAATTATCCCAAATGTTACAAAAACAACAAATTTAGAGTAAATTACATAAAATACTTAAAATGATTTTATAAAACAGTGATTATTAAAATACAAATACATAAAAATTATTAATAATAAATTTCTAACCTATGCTAAAGCCCACAAACAAATATTGCACTTATTCCCTGACACAAACATTTTCCCACAATTATAAATATACTAAAAACATATTCAACGAACTTAATGATAATAATTATGATAAAATAAATATAATAAAAATAAACCCGTGCGGACGGTTAGCCCCATTCCATACATACTATCAGCGACCGATACCACCGGCCAGAATCAGATCCAAGAGGCCGCCCATACCTAACACGCCTAACAGACCCAGACTCCTGAGCAGCAGTAGTACTATACCGACGATATAACACAGTATCTCAGCCAAGGGTAGCACCGCTCCCTCCAGAGTGTTATTACCCGTCAGCACGTCCTGCAGTATGGGAACGGCTAAATTGCTCAGTAGTGTAGTCAACAGTAGGCCAATGAGCTGCCCGGCCGACAGCGTACTGGCCGCTGTGATCAGCGAAAAGCACTGCTCAGAGCCGGGCGATGGGGTGGCGGTGCTGTTGGTGGTGGGTGGGCCACTTGTCGGTGGACCAGATGTCGGTGGGCCACTAGTCGGTGGACCACTAGTCGGTGGGCCACTAGTTGGTGGACCACTAGTCGGAGGGCCACTAGTCGGTGGGCCACCAGTAGGTGTGCCACAGTTGCACGTACAGGAACAGCCCCCGGCGGGACAGGTGCCCGATGTCATACCCGGTGTAGCCTGACGTTTGGCCAGTCCTGATGATCGCAATGAGTGATGATAGCCATTGGTTGGGATGCATACCAGGCCTAGAGTTATGATAGTGAAGGGAATTATAGTTTTGATTAACATTTTTGGTGTTAATTTTGTACTCAATTTGAAATGTTTGCTTAAATGTAATGAGAGTTTATATACTTATGCTATGAATAGAGAAATTCAATGAACTTTAAGTTTAGTGAATAGAAAATGTTTTTTGTGCACTGAAACAAATGTTTTGCATATAATTTGTATAGAATTTATTAAATTGTTAATAATTTGTCTAATAGATGCAATTTTTATATTTATAATTATGTTTATATTGTTTTAAAACACTTGTATTCATAGATAATGTAAAGACTAAACTCTTTCATTACTATTAAAACACAATACAGTACATTATTTTTATAAAGCACTTGGAGGTCATAGACTTTAGCCGGTATTCAATGTACATATTCTGTAACATGTTTTTAATTGTATACTAATTTTTATCAAAAATATTTTTATTGTAATTATAAGTAAATTATAATAAACAATTCAATTTGGCATTCATTTAAATTAAATGTCAATATACTGTAAAAATGGTACTTTACATTCAATTTGTTAAACATAACTTAAGTCTACATATGTTTCATAAGTAAAGTCTGTATAAAAGTATAAAAATACTAAATAATAGACAACAGAATAAAATTTTAAATAAAAATTCATATCAAGGTATAAAAAGTTATGTCAAAAACAATTATCAATTAGTTTTATCATACATGCATTATAATTAAGTGTTCAAAATATAACTTTAATTATGGCTATAATAGCAATCGTTAGGCTATTAATGATAGCGCTTATTATAACAACTATGGCATCGGTTGTTATAGGAAAGCACCGACAGAATTGGTACAAACGATTTTCCGGTGGACATGGAGGTGATAATTATGATCATAATTTCAATAATCACGAACCCTATTATGATTGGTCTCACGAGCCCTACAGCACGCACTCCACAACGCCGTGGGTTTGGGTAACATTCCCGCCGACTGTATCGCAAAGTCCTACCACTCCTCCCACACGTACTATACCGACAAATACACCAACTTATCCACCATATACTCGCCCGACCAGACCAACAGGTACACCACCCACAAGACCTACAAGACCTACAAGCACTCCAACTACAGGACCTACAGGCACTCCAACTACAGGACCTACAGGCACTCCAACTACAGGACCGACAGGAACTCCAACTACTGGCCCCACAACAGCCCCGCCCTCAGAATGTTGCTGGAGCTGTGTCTGCAACTGTAACTCCACGACCTCTTGCACTCCCTGTCCATCGGGAAGGAGAAGGCGTGAACTGTTCGACACAAGCGTTGGATATCCCGTCGAAACCCTGCACCGAATCAAGAGACAGGTGTTGATCAACTGTTTTACTCTAATCCGAAGCTCATCCCTCCTAAGCGCCGGTGCCCTAATAGGGCTACTGTTGTCGACCTTACTGTCAAATTTGCCGTACATTTTGGCCACAGTATTAGCCGGCGATAACTCGCTAAACGGTGCGGTCCTCCCACTGGCGAACACACTGTGCGCTGTCGTCGGGATATTGCTGTTACTATTGAGAAGCTTGGGTTTGTTAGGGCTATTAGGTATGGGCGGACTGTTGGATTTGATATTAGCTGGCGGTATTGGCTAGTTGTAAATTTATAAATTGTCATTATATATGTTTGAATTTTTTGTAATATTAATGTTTGCATAATTTGTGGGCTTTTATAATGCATTTTAAGTTATTTGGTATACAATATGCACTTTATGTTTATAATCACTTGCTCATCCACAATGCCCTAGTAGTTTATTGGTAAAAAATAATTTATATTTTTAAGCAGTTATTTAAAAATACATCAAATTTGATATTGGTAAATATGAAATTTCATCTGGAATAATTTAATTTATTGGAAATAATTTTGATAAACCTTTTTTTGTACACTTTCTGATCATTAAATTCTTTCGCTTATAATAACAATTCAATGTAAACTTTCTCTTAAGAAACATATAAATAAAATAAATTACAAAATATATTTAAATAATAACATACAATTGCATTAATTATATAAAAAAATAATCATCAAAACAATCCGATATTGCATAAGCCATTACCGTAACCAGTGATACCGGGGCCACTACTTGCCGCCGAGACCTCCCAGTATATTATCCAACAACCCGTTCATACCCAACAGGCCTAACAGTCCCAGACTTCTCAGCGTCAGTAACAGTAGGCCAACGATATAACACAGTATGTTAGCCAACGGTAGGACAGCCCCGTCCACAGTGTTATTGCCGGCCAACACGATCTGGAGTATAGGTGTCACCAAATTGCTGAGTAGTGTATTGAGCAGTAGGCCTAACACCTGGCCGGTGGACAGATTGCTGGCCTGTCTGATTTGCGAGAAACACGCCTCCGATGAGGGGGGACCCTGGGTGTTATTCCAACCGCCGCCCCCACCCCAACCACCACCACCACAAGGCGGGCAGTTCCAGTTACCATTATTGCCACCATTACTGCCACAATTGCAGGTACAGGCACACCCCCCATTGGGACAGGTACCGGTGTTGGTGCCGTAGCCCCGTTGTTTGGTTAACTGTTCCGTCTCGGCCTGGATTACCACAACCTGTAGTACTAGGACTGAGAACAAGATTATTAGTCTGGAAAACATTTTGCTATTAAATTAGTTAACAGTTTTGTTAATGTTTTGAGAAATGTATGATTTTGCCAAAAGTTGGCGAAACTTTTATACCCTTCCGGAAATGGGTTTAATTAATTGTTAACTGATTAATACAATGGACATGTTAATTTTATAATCTATTGGTTACGAATTTTTTGATTTTGCATGTGTTTGTCAAATATTGGTCTAATTTTGTAGTTAGTTTTAAAAATCTTTTGTTTAATCCATCTATGAAATAATAGAAAGTGAATTAGTTTTGTCCCAATATTATTGTTTAGCCATTTTCTATTATGATATGCAAAACATTTATCACTTGTGCTCTAAAATCATAATTATAATAAATAAATGTATTGTTTTATTAAATGGATTTAAATAAAAAATATTTATTTTATAAGTCATTGTGCTAATTAAATAATTTTCATGTAATATTTTCCTATCTATTCCTATGTTTTTAAATATTAAAATAATTTCTTGATTATTCTTGATATTTATGTGAATAAAAAACACTTAATGTTTAAGAAATCACTATATTATATTATAAACAAAAAAAACTTATTAAACAATTTAAAGCATATTTTCAATTTGAAAAAGACTTTTTGGTGCTTATCATTATTCCTGTATTTTTTGGTTTTATTAAACCATTTAAACAATAATCCTTACAAGGCAGTATGTATATGTATCAGGGTACTTTTTTAACATTTCTTTTATTATACATTCTTATACACAATTTTAATAATGGTGAGATTCCTTAAGTTGTATAAATATTTATTCACTACTAAATTATAACTT